GCAACTTGTGTCCTGTGGAGTACCAAATTTCGCAAAAGAATAACGGGCTGAAAAATTGTTTTTTTTTTTTTGAATTCTATGACTTTTTTTCCTCAATGTTATCACGTCCTTTTCATTTACTGCAAGATGTCCTTTTAATGCTTCTTGCCCAGATCTTAGTAATTTCATCTATGCTGCCTTAAGATTGTCTTACCCTCCTCTCTGTTAACAAGCATCTATGAAATCGTTGTTTGACTAGTAAACCTACAGCACAGTACTGTTAGTTGATCGTCAACGATGATTGAGGTGGTGAATGGCGTAGTATGCAGCATTAATGGAATGAAGGGGTGGGTTCATGCATTTTACATTACCCTCGCGTGAATCATCAGCAATAGGGTAATAACATTTAGTTCTTCTCATTATTTTTATCACTGAGGCATCATGGGAGTGTAAAGGCATGGCAGACTTCTTATTGGTGCTAGCAGTAATCAGAATAGTTTTTTTCTCATCTGTTGCATTTTTCCTCCTCAGCTGATAGCGTTTTACTTATTCTAGAGTGATACGGGGTCTCAGGAGATGACTGACCCCTACAACTGCTCAGATGCTGCGTTGATCTAACATGACACTAATTACTTTTACCTCGTCTTTCCATTCCATTCTAAGGCGTCTTTTTAATTAAGCGTCATGTATGTGCGGGCCCAGGTAGTAAAGTTGGGACGTAACCATGGGGGTTAAATATTTCTGGCATTTCACCTTTACCAAACTGCTGTGCGTGTGTGTGTGAAAGAATTGGCGTATTTATTTTCTTCAGACTGATGGTCGAGTGGAGACTTAATCGTGGAGTAGGAGAACAGACCGAGGCCTTTCTTAAGGGCCTTTTTGAGGTTGTGGATCCCTCCTGGTTGCAAGTTTTCGACGAACGCGAATTGGAGGTAAGTCTACTCATAAATGTGCTTGCCAGATTTTCCTGTTAGATAGAGTCTTATATTTTTACACAAAAAATATATGAGGGATGCTTAGGTCGACCGATACTTGTGTTTATACGAGAAAGTTATGAACTTCAAACGGCATTTACTAGTTTTGCGAAAGGATTCGTCTCGTGCCATTTCACCGCAGGTCATGTATTAATCAGACGTCTGGGAGCAGGCTACAGTGGTCGTCATTGACCAACCATCTTTGAGTAGTGTACATTGTCTCACTGCTTATCATCTGAGCGTCCTCTTCTAGTAGTGTGCTTTGAAGTCGTAAGAAAACCGTCCACCACCATGCGCTGTTGCATGCGCATAGGCGGCACTACTACTATTCTACTTAACGATTTAGCACTACTGTGAGTAATGCCTCAGCCTTGGTATCTGATTTTGCACTTGAAAATTTAAAAGACTAGATTTGATTTGAACACCTCAACAACTCATGTGTCTCTTCCCTTTGTTTCCTTTTGGTACAGTCCGCCCATTTCTATTTATGTGTGACAATAACACCTGCTTCTCTCACCATTTGTGCAGCCTTTTCCGTAGGGCAGGTGTTCCAGTCTCATGCGAATATGGTAAATTGGCCAAGAAAAAGATTAGTTTTAAGTGTTTTTTGAAGTACAGCCAATCAACATCCCTCCTGTTTGTTGCTACTACCTGAGAAATATTGAGAGAACCATGAAATGGATTAGCAAAAATGAAAAAAGTGCAAAATTGAGTTAACTGTGTTTAGTGCGTGTCTATACAACTGACAGAGCAATCCGGCATCCAATTTCAGCACTTATTTCGTTTGTGATGGATAGGGCTTTGACTTCTTGAAGTAGTGTAAAAAGAGTTTGAGTAGTTGATGACACTTACCTGCTCTCGAAATGACTGGAGCAAGAGTTGAGACCTGTTAAGTGCTTTAGTGAGAGTTAAACTTCTGCTCACACTTTGGGGTTGATGGGCAATGGAAGCGGAAGACTGCAAAACACCTCGATCTAGCTGCCATCTGGTTTTTGCGTTAACGAAGGCGATGTAAATGCGTTGTGATGTTCACGAATGGAGATACTACTGGTTATTCCCAAACGAAGCAATCATTAACCAATTCCTACACCTCCGAGTCAGTACTATATTCCTAACTTTGGGCATAGGCAATGAATTTACTTTTATTGTCAGCAGAGCGTTACTCGTATTTGCTCCCCATCGCATCACCCTCGAATCAATGGGTAAGCGAAATGATTTGTTGACACATTTAGGCGAGCACTTCTGAAGTCAAGGGAGGAGGGAGCGACTGCCGAAATTCTTACAGGAATACTGCGAAAGATTCTCTTCCGAAGCCCCCAATAATGGAGGCTTCAATGGGGGCGAAAACTTGCTGATATTAACCTAATAGGTACGATTCAACTCCAAGGTGCTCAAACATACTTATTTAGAAGGGGCTAGGTCCAATCGGTGGGAGGGAAGAAAGTTATGCTCGGAAAAGAGATCTCAAAAATCACACTATAGGTAGGAGAGAGATATTGCCTCATCCCTATCCTCAACCACCGTATTTCCCTCACAGCTATTCAAGCGATTATCCTCTTTTCGGTGGCGGTAGGCAATAACATGACCACATCTGGAATGGGATACACAATGCGGAAATAGTTAAAACAGCGATAGATAACAGCAGCAGTTAGCTTATGCCTCGTTTAGAGCTGTGAAATTGAGGGAGAGTTTAGT